ACACTATGTGACACTTTAATTGGGTAAAATGTTTAGATTTAATTGAATACTTGTGTTTAAACTTGTCTTGAATAGTGGAATAAAAGTTTTTCAAAACCTTATGAAACCAACATGAATACTCAGAGTTCATGTCTAAGAACTTGGCATATGTTGTAGGCTAGATTTTAAAAAGAGCCCTTTTCTTTTCTTTTCTTTAACTACCACATAGACAATTTTATGCCATTGACCCATGTATCACTGACACTTTCTGTGTGTGTGTGTGTGTGTCCAGCATTGTACTCCTGTGCTAGGAGTTGCTGATAGGTTTGTCCTTTCTTTCATCTCTCTTCAGTAAGGCAGAGAGCCCCTTAGCTGTCAACCGCCTCTCCATTATATCATCCCTATAGTTCCACCACCCTGCACACATACAGCCTGGAAACAAGTGAAAAGTAGTCCAGACATCATAACTGATCAATGCATAACACATGTAACCTTCAGCATCCCAGGCAGAGCTGAAAACAGACCAAGAGTGGCATAAAAAGCGAAGTGTAGGTGTGGAGAACTATGTGACATCCTGTGTCCTATTGTTCAATTCATCCATCCATCATAGAGAAGCCTCAAAACTCCTACTTGACCACTGTTCAAAGCTCTCCACGCCTTCACAGACTGATTTACAAATGAGCTTTCCAGCACAGGAAGGTTAGCTCGTACACACATACACACGCTTTTAAACAAGCCGCTAGCTGGTCAGGGGTAAAATAATCCACTTTGCTGAGAAAAGAATGGGCCTACCGAAAAAATTAACCTCCAGATGCTGGATCGATACATGTCCTTTGGTGCGTTGCACTATAATAAAGCGCAGGGGAGGGAGCGGGAAGGTTAAGACGCGTTTGGCTTCACTCGTCCCTCTCATATCATGTCTGATGGGAATGTGCTGCTAAAGATGCATGCATCAGAATGTGCTCATTGACATGCCATCCAACCAAAACTGGATTTTTTCAAGAGTACGCTATTAGACTAAGAGCTTGCGTTGAGTCTTTTGGAGCAACAACCATATTTGTCTTGAAATGTTCAGTGTAAGGGTGCCAAATAAGATCATTAACCTTGAAAACAAATCCTGTTTGTTTATGCCTGCCAAGTTGTTTAGCTCAAGGAGAGTTGACAGGCCAGTATCGCATGAAGTGATGTGTATTGCCTGGGTGATCGAATTTTAGGATTGTGCTTATATTGATTCTTTTATTGCATTTCTGAGCTTAAGCTGTTTTCTTGAAGCTGGTCCGGCCGGCGTATATCTGTCACAGCCTGTAGGACCTTCTCTGGTGCTTTTAATACGATGGGCTGATTTTATTCCTTATCTCTTATTCATTTAGGGAGGGATGGAGGGAAGAAAGCGGGAGGATGGGCTGCTATGTGCTTGGATGGTGGAGAGGGGGAGGGGTGCGGTGGATTAAAATCTTTGGTCGAAAACATCCGCATGAAAAAACAGAGGCAGTGAAATAAACATCCCACCAGCGAATGAGAAGACAAGTTGAGATAGTGGAGAGAGAAAATGCTGTAAAAGACTGTCAGAAATGGGGGTAATGAGAAAAGTGAGTGAGGGTGAATTGAAATGAACTGCAAACAGGACATGGACTCTGTGGCGGGAAAACTGGTGATGAGATTCTGGAACAGAATGAGTTCAGTACAACAAAAACCTCCACCAAACAACAAAGAAATATAAAGAGGAAAAGGGGTAATAGTAATTATAGTACATAGTGTAGTATGTGACATATATTAACCCTTTAGAGGGGGGGTTTGTTTCCCTTTTTGCAGGTACAGTAACAATTGGGGGCTCAGGACCTCGCACACCCAAACGAGAATCATACCCCTAGACAATAAAAAGAAAGAAAAAGAGAAAAGTGGTAATAGTAATTATATTACATAATTATATTACATAGTGTAATATGTGAAATATATTGACCCTGTAGAGGGGTTTTTTGTTTCAACCTATGAAAAGAAACATATCCACAAATATACAGATGTACAATAAACATAATACAAGCACACAGCTGTCTGATTACTGCATAATAATTATAAAAATCATTTTAAAGAGATTGTGCTTGCAAAGTGCAATCTTGTCCATTTTTAAAGCTTAGCATAATGAGAAAAAATTGTGCTCACTATGGAAATTCCCATGGTTTATCTATGACTTTTTAAAGATTGTATTCCTTTCCATGACTTTTCTAGGCTTGGAAATCAGAATTTTAAAGTTCACTGATATTTCCAGATTTACTACACTGAAAATATTTTTTGTATTTATTATTATTTTTGATGAATATCTTTTTCTCGTTTTCAATTTCATTTTTTCTCACACAAATCATTTTGTTTCAAACTCATGTTGTTTACTCACACAACTCATGTTGTTTCTTCTGTTTAACAAAGAAGATTGCTGACAAGACAAACAGTTGCTGGTCCCCATTGACTTCCATAGTATTTTTCCATATTATGAAGGTGTCTACTAGCAACTGTTTGTTTACCCACATTCTTCAAAATGTCTTCTTTTATGTTCAACAGAAGAAAGAAACTCATCCAGGTTTGGAATGACTTCACGGTGAGTAAATGATGATATAATTTTCATGTTTGGGTGAACTATCCCTTTAAAATCAAGATTAATTTGCCTGGTCTACATGACAGCATGAGTTATTTTCAGATAGAATATATCTTGTTTCAATGTACTGCCAGATGGTTTTACACTTTAATATATACAGTAAATTAATATAAATTAATTAAAAAACTTTACATTGCTTTTTTTATTTCAAATTATAATATTTATATTTCTATATATATATAGTATATAAATAATATAGTATATAATTTATTTCCTGTAAAATCTAATAATTTTACAGGAGAAGACAACGATACTCATTAAGAAAATATATATTTTTTAATTTACTAAAATACTCATAGACTTCCGAAGAACCATTTTCTTCTAATAGAAAACAGACAAGATGTGCTTCACCTGCAATACTTAACCCAAGATCACACTTTTGACATGTTGGCCTACTTCAAGTCATGGCAAAAGTTAAAACTGATTTAATAAAAGATTATAAAATAGTGCAGTCAACAATAAAATGCGTCAGCTTCCTGAGTGGATGGAGGAGAAAGATAGAAAGAACAAGAAAGAGTTGGAAAGGATTTAGGAGAAAGAATGTATTTTAGTGATAACACTACATTTTTATTGCACTTTCAGCTTAGCTGTGGACAGTACAGAAGGAATAACCAACATTAGTGGGTGGGACAGTAGAAAAAAGTAAAAGAGTTCATCCACTGAGCTTGGTGCTTTCACACTTGGTCCAATTGCTTGGTCCGAACCCGAGTTCGATTGCTCCCCCCTCCCCTGCCCCCTGCCCCCGCTGGACTGTGTTCACATTATATTATTTGGGTCCGAACCCCGTTGCTTATGGCGCAGGAGAGGACAGCAAAATGCGTAGCATTGCTCTCTTCATTGTTATATTTATGTTTTTGAACCGTTGGTTTTGTTTCCAAAGCTTACGGCACTTACGTCTGCCTTACGAATGTACTGCAAATGCTCTAAAGAACTCTGAAGGCGAACAGAAATTAGATATACAGCTCTCTGCTTGCAGAGACATTGAGAAACATTTTTATCAAACAATACGTCATTAATAGCGGTTCAGTGATTTGGTACGATTGTGTTCACATCAGCAGCGGACCGTACCGGAGTCAGCTTAATACATTGCATGACTTTATTCTTAAATTTCCAGCATTCCAAATTACATACAAGCTACCTGCTACCATGACGTGCGATGCATTAATGCACTGCAGTAAAAATTTCTTCTGAAACAGTGCCGTGAACATTTATAGAGTTTGATATTAATGTCTTGGAATGATCATGGTGGCATGTTGGAGTTTTGTAATCCACATGTTTTGAATCAGTGCGAAGCCGGATGCTGCCTAGTCCCGTTTACAGTGATTGAGAGTGAAAAGAGCGTAGTGCACTTGGCAGCTCCTAACTGGGAAGAGGATGGAATTAAAATCAATACTCTGCATGATGCGGTGGCTCAGAAGGTTAAAATAGAACTCACAACTCTCTAATGGCCACTGCATAGCTGATTTAAGATTATTAGCTGTCATAAACAGAAGATCTAGTCATGGGCATAGATTAGGGTATAGGGATGGGGTTCCTACCAACTTTCTGAAAATCACAAAATCCCTGGCCAACATTTGGCTTAGAATGCCAACACACTAGAGATCCAAAGGAGAGGTTGATGAATAGAAATACACAAGCTCATGTTTTGGGGTTGTGGAAAGAGAATTGTTATTTTGAAATCAAGCAAGAGTACAGCAAATTAAATTTCCAAAAGTTAAACCCACTGCACATTTTTTTATTAATCAGCAGATGCATACATCAGGGTTGATTCTAAGATTTTGTCTTTAGAACAAAATCTTTTGAACACTGTTTAAAATAAACTGAAAATAAATGTAAAAAATAAATGTATATCAATGACATCAATCAGAGCAAGATTTTAAGATGAGTCATCATTGCTTTAATCGCGCTTTGTTTTAAATATATATTTTTAAAATATATTTGTTTTTGTCGCCTGTCTTATTCCAATATATTCTTAGCAACTTTATAACCCAACCTACGTAGCTGGATCTGGTTCAGTTTCAGTTTTTTTTTCTTGCCCTCTGTGCACCTGTTCTACACGCTCTTGCTGATGCACAAATGAGGCTTTCATGTACGTTAAGTCTCAGCAAATCAGATGCTCTTCATTTCTGAGCCATCATCCATCCACCCCCCGCATCCCTTTCTGTCTTTGTATTCTTTTGCACATCTTAGCTTTTTGGTATAGAAAACTCTCGCTCACCCCTCCCACTCCTTGCGTTTTCCCCTGAAACCAAGAAACCAGGACATCTCGGCGACCGACGGGTTAACGCGCACTCGCGCTCGTGATTGGCTGCGGGAGCGGCGCTTTTAGAGAGAGGTAACCAGGCAACTTCAGCTGGAGCAGCGGAGAGAAAGAACAGGGTGAAGGGGAAAAGAAGCGCAAAAATCCCATCAGCTTTGGTGTGCGATAGAAAGGATGTAGTCCAGGTCTGTGGCTGTCTGTCCCCGGCATGGGAAAGTGGATTACTGCTCTTCTACAGACGGTAGAGACTAGATACGGAGTGATTGCGCGTGGATTTTTATCATGAGAAGTATGGGATCTGAACGCACCAGTTTAAAGGTAAGAGGGTTTGTCTTAAGGATGTGGTTCGCGGTGATATATGGAAAGAAAAACGGCGTCGGTGCTGTTGCAATGAAACTTGTCCATGTGGAACGCAATGATATCTCCCTGCGCTTCGGTGATGGAGTTGTGTCGGTTGATTGAATTCACGCATCTAAAGCAATAGGAGCGATATTATTCAACAGTTATCACACATCTGATTTGCGAGGAAATGAGCCGAACCAACTGCCACCAGTTGACGGTGATCATGCGTCCACGCGCGTATGGAGAGGAGCGGCGTTTGCTGCATTGACATCCATGTTCTGCCCTGCGCGAGAGCGATTGATCAACTGAGATTTACTACAACCTTTCGTATTTAACACATTTTCCATTCACCACCGAGCACAGGTCTAATACACGCTCAGATAGTGCTATATGCGCGCACTCATTAGAAACTGCAGTGGAAAGAGGTGTTCGGTATTGCCGGCTAGTGTTAAAACGCACGAGTATCAATTCAAGACACGGTAGCGTGAAGTTTCCATATATTGCAACGTGAAGAAACGTGTATATTTTGTTTGTGTGGTTCAGGCAGGTTGATCGGTCCGCAGGGGCTCCGCGGCAGCAGAAGCCCGCATTAATGGCACTGCCCGTGTATGTGTGTGTGTGTGTGTGTGTGTGAGAGACAGGGAACCAGCGGGCAGCGAGAATTCCGTTACTCGCACTCTAAGAATCTGACAACTGACTTGGGGCACCGGCGACCGCGTTAAACGCATCTCTACGTGGCGTTTTCTGAACGGTTGCACTGCATGAGTATGTTCCCACAGCGTTTGAAGCGGTAGAGCACGTGAGGATGATGTGCTTTGACACAGAACATCCTCTTCAGACTGCCTGTGTAGTATTTTTGAAACGAGAAACGGACACCTCGACGTTTGCTAAGAATAAAACGCTTGAAAAGACACCGACTCTCGTCGCGTTACCTTCCCGTGCGGTTCCACTGAGCAGAGTGGACCGCGCGCTCCGTCTGAAGGACAAAAGCGCCAGTGACTGAGTGTCCGGTGAGGAAGACTCTAGTAAAACCTAAAATAACATTATGGTGACCAACCAACATCTCCGAGAGGAAGACAGCTTAGTAAACATACAGTCATGTGCACGCAGAAAGGTTTGTGTGAGGGTTAGCTCTAGGGTTAAAGGGTTGCGAACACCATTACAGTAATATAAAAACAACAGAAGCCAATCGAAAGTACCTATTATGATAGGAAACAAGTGTTTTTGTGACTGTTTCATTATTTATTAAAGACGCATGACAATTTTTGTGTGAAAATATAGGGAAACTCACAAATGCAGCTACAAAGCAGAGCATACATCAAACTGTTCTCATTCTTAACCTATTTAGCAGCACTAGTCTTCACTCTGTTTTCTTTTTTAAACATCAATGCTGACTGTTACAGTAGGTTTCCACATTAGTGTTGATAGTAGAAAAATCATGATCGTAAATGTGTGTGTGTTTTTTTTTATCTCTCTCTTTTTTTTAATCTGAACTGGTCCAGGTGTCAGGTGCTCATTGACAGCCCCTCGTTTTTAGGTCAGTGGCTATTGTGTTAATATGTCACACATCTTTTGTGTGGTTCAGCCATCAGTTTGCATTTGTTTTCTAGATGAATGCTATTTCGAATTAATTTGTGTTTTCAGCCAGAACTTCTGTTGTGAATAATTTTTTTTTGTCAAGCTTTTCAGCATTGTAGATAGATAGATAGATAGATAGATAGATAGATCAAATGATGATACATAAAAAGGAGCAATGTGTTTTTTGTGCCATAATCAGGTCAGAGTCATTATGCCAACCTGTGCCAGATGGCACACTCTCCCATCCCTTCATATTATGTCACCGTTCTGCTTATAAGTTACTATAGCTTTGGTAAAGGTGGTCTGTTCTGGACTTTTCTGTGTGTAGTTAGGCCTTCCCCTTCTGCCTGAATGGGCCCAGCAGGCAACAGTGCATCTCCATGGAGACAGAACACAGAGTGTGGGAACCCTCAAAGCCAGCATTGTTTGTCTCTCTCTCCACTGTGTTCATTTATTCATTCTACAAGCTGGGTTTGTTTTGAGGTAATGTAGAGGTAGGGTTGTAATTCAGACATATCTCCTGGGGTGATAGCATGTTCAAGGAAAATTAATACTAATGCCTGTTGATTTGACCTGTATGAACTCAATGGCAAGCCAAGCTTGCTGTTCTAGATACTTTTCTGTTTGAAACCAGATCTGTAAAGAAAAGAATGGCCAGAATTGATGATTTTTTTTTTTGAGAGCAACTACATTTCAAGTGTTAGTTGCACTTTAGATTGTGAGGTGGTTGTTATAGGAATGTATTGAGATGAGAACCGAGGTCCTCAGAGCAGCATGTCACCCCTGGCGTCTTCATCAGAGCAGAAGGTGCTGGGAATTCCTGAAGTAGAGCTGTTCCACGGGGGATGTCCCTTCTCGGAAATCTGTCCGGGATAGAGAGGAGGCATCGACTGCCATTCCTTGTCCTCTGTATTGATCTGTCTGTTCTGGGTGACATTATCTCCTCCTGCTAATTAGAGCTCAGGATTGGCCTCACCCATTGGATGGCATCCGGCTGAGGACATGACACTGAGCCCGAGGGCACAGCTGCCACAGTTTTGGCCCATCAGAAGCTTTCCACTCAAAATCCACCAGTAAAAGTGATAATTTAATTAAAAGAATGCCATTTCTGCTGAATGCTTTGCATATTGGTGTTTTGTGTTGTCAAGCTGTGCTATGATAAATGTCAGTAGGGCCCTGTGTAATGTAGGTATCTCTGTGTAGGTGTCACGTGTGACACTCTTGTTCTATTCCAAAATCCACACTCTTAAAATAAAGGGTTTTTATTGGCATTTATGGTTCCATGAAGAACCATTAACACCCATGGAACATTTCTAATTTACAAAAGGTTTTTAAAAAGTGGAAAAAAATGTCTTTAGATTATTAAAATGTTCTTCACACTAAGAAAAAATGTTTAAGAATTGTTAACTTAAAGGTACTTTCAGGAACCAAAAATGGTTGTTTTGTGATATTTCATTGAAACCGCCTTTGGGAACCTTGAGCTGCCTGTTCTAATGGTCTTGGAACTTCATAACTGACCACAGACTAATTGATTCCAAAAGAGTTTGGCACATTGCTCAGCCAGCTGTATTGTTGTTCTCGTCATCTTAGGAATTTTGCTGTTGATTGTTTTAACATTAACAGATTTGCTTATTTTATAGAAAATTTGGACCATGTGGAAATGAATTTTTATAGTAATCAACTTTGTCGCAAAGCTTGATTGAGCTTAACATGCATTGAACCCACAATATTCCTTGAATATGCTGCCTCCATAGGCAGCTCACTAGGTTTTAGTCCAGAGCATATGTAGAAAGGTTGTACAAGGTGGAAGCAGTGGTTCTCTTTGTGCCACATGCTGCAATGCCACGCTGACATCTGCCCCATAATCTCCTTAAAATGGCCACAATCTGTCTGCATGGCTATTTGGGTCCAGAAACGACAGTGAAACATCAATCCACACACAAGAAAGCTCAGCATACTTTCACAGGTTGTCTTATACTTTATTTGTTCTCATATTTTCACATTTTCATTTTCTGGCCTTCTGTTCTTATTGAACCTGCCTTCAAGTACATAACTAACAATTTGCATAACAGTTGCACAATGAATGCAGAGGGCTGCGGTTTCAGGGTCTAAATTCTTGACCCTGTATCTGCTTTTCATTTACCGCATAGTTTCTAGTTCCTCCTGTGACTATTCCAATCAAAATCTCCTCCTTGAGCTATGAATAAAGAACCATGCTTATTTATTTATTTTATTCAAACTGAATCCACCAAATGAACTCGCTTTCAATGGGCATACAGTCCCATCTCTCACTGTGGTATAGAGTTACGCAACGCTCCACTGACTCCAGCCTACCCGTAGAAACAAAAGGGAGTAAGAAGGCAGACAAAAAGTCAATGGTTGATAATTTAGTCCCATGAGAGCCTCGCTCCAGAGCGAGTTTGATGTGCTGCATTGCAAACAAAGAAATGCAGGCCATGCAACAGTCTCAGTACATTAACACTTCAATATAATCTATTCTTTCAACATTCTCATTTACTTGCGCTCAAACTTCAAGGACTACTCTCCTGGGACTGATTCTTTATTTGAGGCACTACTTGCCACTCATTTACCATATTTTTTTGCTTTGCATCACCAGAACCTGGTGGGATTGCACCTCTTCTCTCCTCTGACATTTAAAGACAGTGAAAGAAACAGAGAGAGGAGAAGAAAAGAAAGGAAATTAATGACGTTTTCAGCCCTGCGTTTCTTCGTCATTCTTTTGTATACATACACCACTCACAAGTTTGGGGTCAGTAAGATTTAGTAAATGTTTTTGAAAGAAGTCTCTTATGCTCACCATGTCTGCTTTAGTTGATCAAAAATACAGGAAAAAACAGTAAAATTGTGAATTATTATTAGTTTAAAACAACTGTTTTCTATTTCAACTTCTATTTTAATATATTTTATTATATATTTATTCCTGTGATGGCAAAGCTGAATTTTCTGCATCATTACTCCAGTCTTCAGTGTCACATGATCCTTCAGAAATCATTCTAATATGTTGATTTGTTGCTCAAGAAACATATATTATGAATTCAACAGCATTTATTTGAAATAGGAAATTACACATGACACATTTTTTTACTGTCACTTTTGATTAATTTAATACATTCTTGCTAAATAAAAGTATTACTACTTTCAAAAAAATACTGACCCCAAATGTTTGTACAAAATAAGGAATGCTACTGATTTTCAACCTTTTTTTCTGTCGACACAGATGAACAGTTGTTGAGCAAGTGGCTGTTGTCCACAGGGCATCAGGAAGACCTTATTTTATCCCTGCTGAGTGCAACTTCTGCTTCCAGAACAAAGAAAAACCATCTCTCTTCTGTTTCTTAAAGGGATAGTTCAACCAAATATGGTAGTTCTGTCATCAT